CACTGGCGGACTGGCCAAAACACGTGTAGGGTAAACCGTAATCGTAATCGCCAGTTTGTTCTTCACGTCTATAGCGCTTTGCGCCAACTTGGTTTCGCAAGCTTTTATCCCATATTTTACGTGCTGATGCGCTTGGTGGTGTCTCTCTCTTGTACTCATCTTCTTCCTACTCTCTCTCTCTCTCTCTCTCTCTCTCTCTCTCTCTCTCTCTCTCTCTCTCTCTCTCTCTCTCTCCTTTATCGCTCCTTTATCTCTCTTCTCTATCCAAATGATATGGTATGAGTGTAAATTGCACTTGGCTTGCGAATGTTGGATCGATTTTTTTTTTCCTCAACTTGAGAAAACAGGTTCAGGACTTTCTGGAATTTATTATTATTATTATTATTATTGTATTATTTGGTAATATTCTGTATGACGTCAAAAGTACATCCCCCCACTCTTATGAGGAGGCTCTTTCATATGTCAAGGGGGGGTAAGGTTTTGCGTGTCGTATGGAATTGAACCCGATGCTCCACCGCTTGTCCAGCCCCTCCATTACGCCCTTTTGAGTTTCAGCCTTGGGACTGTACTCCCAAATTGAATAAGCATTGATGAGTGTGCGCTGCACAACTAAGCCATGAGGGGGGGGGGAGGTAAATGAAAAACACATGGCGAGAAATCAGCCGGCAAAGGGCGCACTGTGCAGTCTAACCTCACCTTGACGATAATGCAGTCCATTTGCAGGTCGGGACAGAATGAGCGCGTCACCGAGGCAGTGACACGTCTAGCTGACCACGTTTTGTTCGATTCAAGGTCGTACGCGATACGATACGTCGATCTGCCGGTGCGGCGGAACATGTGCTGGACCCAATAGCTTGGCGTTCCGTACTGCTGCCATGAGTCGAAGACGATAGCATCTGGATTCCACCTGCAATGGATCGAACTTTGAATTTAGTCTAATTTAGCAATAATATGCGTGTTACCAACCGGGCGGCCTGGGTGACCGTGGATTCCCGGGCATGCGGCTGGGCAAGGAGCCAGGGAAGGTCCCTGTAAAGAAAAGAAAAGAAAAGGGCCGAAAAAAAAAAGGGGAAAAAAGTTCAGAAAACTATGTTGTTAACTTGTGTCAAAATAAACTGAACAACTTTGGCCTCAGGGTTAGATCGAAATTCTTTGCCAAATGGTAAAAAAAATAAAAGAAAACATATATGACGATATATAGTCGGTGAAACTCCGACGAAAGAGTTTGTCACAGCCCCTCGTTCGTTGTCCTATACATATTCACAATTTCACACCGTAACATCTTCTTAAGTTCTTACAAATGACAAATTACTGACAAGTAAACCAGGTATGCCAAATGAGAAATAATATTAGAATTTAGAACTGACAACTATAATAAATTCTTCCTTCCTTCCTTCCTTCCTTCCTTCCTTCCTTAGAAATAGAATTAGAAATGAAAAAAAATATATATATACATTTTAGTTTTTTGTTCTGCAAGGAAAATGAGCGATAGTGAACTTCAGAAAACAAACAGCATCATAAACATGAGACCAGATAGTCGTGACCTCGAACCAATAGCAGAATTGCATCACGAGTTCCACCAAATAAGAACACAGCAAAAGCTCATAATTGACAATGCTGGAATAGTCTCATCATCATCAACGAAGAACCAATGTCGATATCCTATCTGGCGCTTGGCGCCCAGACTACAGATGGCAGATCCTATCTAGCCTAATCTACAATGCCGCTGATGACGTCAACAGCTCCCCGAAGTACGAGCAGATCTCGGCCAATGCCATACGCTTCATGCACCCAAGGACCACCATGCGCCCCATCCAGCATACAGCAGCGCAGCTCGGTTATGGCTGCCTGCTCCTTCCAGCTCCCCCGTGAGCGCGTGAGCTTGGCCAGCGTTAGCGCAGCAGTTCATTCTTTGCCGAATTTTTTGCAACAATAACCCACTGCTTCCTTTCTTTCTTTCTTTCTTTCTTTTTAACGGACTGTGAGGACCTGCCCAGACATGGACTGAGAACATAGCTGATTTCTGAGTTTCGCCGCCAGAATGAATGTCTTGCTGAGATTCCCTTCCCACTTTCTGCTGAGTTTTCCACATCTTTCTGGTCTGCGTGCCTGTCTGAGTGCTTGCCGGCTTGAGTGCGTGTGTGACCCGCACGGGCACTTGCTTGCTTGAAAGGCCCCATAGGGCCAGTACTTACCTGCGACCATGACATTGAAGGTTGCAGCGGGGAATCCAGGGAAAACACTCAAGTAGTAGCTGGTTAGAGTGCTGGTCTGCCACGGGAGTAGTAGTCCTGCGACACTTAGCAGCGGGGGAAAACACTCCTTCCTTCGTTCCTTCCTTTTCTTTCTTTCTTTCTTTCTTGCGGGGAAAAACACTCCTTCCTTCGTTCCTTCCTTTTCTTTCTTTCTTTCTTTCTTTCTTTCTTTCTTTCTGTCTGTCTGTCTGTCTGTCTGTCTGTCTGTCTGTCTTTCTTTCTGTCTGTCTTTCTTTCTTTCTTTCTTTGTAACAAACAAATCTCTTTCATTATAGGCTGCAAAACCCTAAACTCTTAATTGATTGAGACAATGGATAACTCACAAGGGCCTCGAACCACGTTGTCGAAGGTTCTTCCATCCTTAAAAGTTAAGACCCTTTTTTTCCCAACGGGGCAAAAAGAACGAACCCTACCTTCGATCGTGTGCGTTCACAAACAGTGGCGCATAACTGGCCATTTCTATAACATCGCTGCAGATGAGAACACAACAAAACAAAGGGAAACAACACCACACACACACACACACACACACACACACACACACACACACACACACACACACACACAATCAGTCAGCCAAAGCATGTAGCCAACCAATATACTCATCAGTGATATGATGGCTGCATCTGATGACCGCACACAATCAATCATTGTGTATAGCCAAAGAATGTAGTCATGCAATATGTCTAGTTATCCCCAACTAAACCCTAAAGCTGTAAACCCAAGGGCCAAGACGCTAGTCTCAAACCCTAAACCCAGAACCAGAAAGCCTTTAACCCCTAAACCCTAACGGACTGGATCGTTTTGAGTCGTGCATAACCATCCAACCTGTGCAGCCATGCCCCTTAAACCCTAAACCAAGTTCGCAGACTCTCTCTCGCTCCCATTTTTCACCTCAATTTATAAGAAAACCATAAGGCCATCCCAAGCAAACTTCACACCAATCTATAGAGTGCACTTCTTACTAACACATTATTAAAAAAATACCAAAAAATAAAAATAAAAACACATAAAACAGCAACTCAAATGTGCATTTTCAGGCAATTTTGCCAAAAAACAACTCCATCAAAATTTCAGGATTTTCAGGATGATTAACAGCACAAATTCTAATAACCCAAATGACACCAAATTTGACACACAGCAAGCTTGTCCCAAAACAAAAACAGGCCAATTTTTTTTTCCCAAAAAAACACAAAATTTGACCCCGAAACCCTAATTTCAGGATCATTCATCGTTACCCAGGGCCGAAAAGTGGGGGTCCCCGTTAACCAGGTAACGGGTTGATCTGGCTTGGATGTGGGCTCATCCTTCCTAGACATATGTTTCACCGCTTAAGTAATACTACCGTCTTCATGGTCATTATCGCTGTATCTAGATTCTAGACTGAAAGTTGCCCCAGAAACACAACAACAATGACCGTGTGTTTTATTCGGGTGAAGTCGGTAGCTTCAACACACCAGCTTTCGCAAGACATCGATCGAGCAACATGCCCCGATCTGTCCATCCATCCATTCACATATATTCATCGCTCTATCCATCCATTGATCCATGCACTGCACCGGTTATCTTGTCATGCCATCGTGCTTTGCCTCCTCTACACGCCACCACAGGACAGTATATCAACTGTGCCAAAAACTGCCATGCCATATCCCTCCTGCCACTCGTTGCCTTCCCATGCCACAACACTAACTCACACCTCCATCATACATTCGATAATACTTGATATCCATTATTGGCTTGTTGAACACTCTATCAGTGCATCATATTCATGATTCACTTCACGGCAACCCAACGTTCGAGGCCTCCTCTCCCCCTCCCCCCCCCCGCCCGCCTGGCATCACTGTCATATAGATAAAGAGAAGTAATGGCACATCCAGAACCTCGTTTGGACGGGGAGGATAATACTGAAAGAAAAACTTGGAAATAGATAGTAAAGAATTAGTTGAAGCCTGGAAAAAAAAACAAAAAACAAAAAAAAAACAGTTAGTTGAAGCCTGAAAGACAAGGGGAGAGGAGAGGAGGTGAGATTGGGAGGGACATCCTGACAAGAGAGATCACGTCATCTCATTTTGACGGGGATTCACTTTCCCATCAAAACTTTTGCCAAAAAAAAAAAAAACAAAAAAAAAAACGGCAAGGCCGATGAATTTCACTAGAGAAAGAGAGAAGGTGAGAGTGACGAAAAAAACGTTTGAAACGAAAACACAAGACATGGGCCAAACTTCCGCCAAAGTAGCGACAGGTCCAGAGCACATAGTAACATACTTTTTTTTTCACTTTTCTTTTTCTTTTTTTCTTTTTTTCGTTTTCTTTTTTTCTTTTTTTTTAATAATTGAAAAGCGACTATACTGTCTATACTCTATACATACATATTACATACCTGTTCTTCTCCAGCCCAGTCATGAAAGCTGCCTCTGCTACAGCCGCCAGCAAGCTTCCTTTACCAGCATCAGGGCCAACAACAGCATATTCACTGACAAAGGCCTGTCGAATTCAGTCGATCATTAGCGATGTATGATTTTTCAGTAGTGTTATTACGGATTGACGCGGATTAAAATGACATGATACTTCTATTACTACCATCTTCACCCGAATAGAACGCCCGGTCATTATCGCTGTACCTGGACTGCAAGTTGCACCAACACGGCTAGAATGACCGGGCGTTCTATTCGGGTGAAGACGGTAGGACAGCTAAGAGGTATGGGCTACCATCTTCATCTGAATAGAACAGAACGTATGGTGATTACCACCGTATCTAGACTGAAAGTTGCCTCTAATACAGCCTTAGCGACCGTACGTTCTGTTCGGGTGAAAGGCGGTACGTTCTGTTCGGGTGAAAGGCGGTACGTACCTCCTGGTTGGTATTCTTCAGCAAGCCGAACGAAATGTAGAATCTTTAGTCCATCCAACTCAATTGCCCTTTTTCTCACCCTTTTTTTTTTTTTTTTTTTTTTTTGGGGGGGGGGGGGGGGGGGGGGGGGGGGGGGGGGGGGGGGCATTCCTTGATTTATTTGTGTCATCCTTGCGGAGGGACCATGCTAATCCTCTTTCTGTGTATCATTCCAATTTTGACGGATGTCACAAAGGACGAGGCAGCGAATTCGATATCTTTGTGAGTTACTGAAGGGGAGGGGGGGGGCGGAGAAGAAAAAGAAAAAAAAAAAGAAAGAGAAGGGCAGAAAATTTGTGTCAAAAGGCACCAGGATTTTGACAGTACCAAACTACAGGGTACCAACGACAGAAATGGTATCAGGGCATCAGGGTCTGGAAAGAACAGCGCTCCAGAGCTCCAACAGATCGTCCCAAAGGAAGAGGGCCATGGAAATCGCTAGGTCCATCCAGCAAGGGGGTTCAACTTTCAACCGTTTCATCCAGTTAGGCATTTTAATAATTTTTATCGATTTTTTACCGGATAAGAAATCCCAGCCAGTCAAGCTTGGGTACATACCCTCTCTGAAGACCAAAAACCCAGACCCTGTCATCAAAAGCAGATGGCGGAACATTTTGGGCCAAGAGGCAGACAAAATCACGCAAATCCAATGGAAAAGATTCAAGCTTATCAGGCCAATTAAGATCAGAAGCTTACAATGGTTAATAGTCTATGCAGCCTTACCGGTGAACCAATGGCTGCACATCAGACGGAAAAACTCAGATCCCGACAGTTCGGAAACATGCACAGTCTGCACCGAAGGCGTGGTAGAGGATATAGTTCACTGCCTAGTCCACTGTAAAGAGGCGACAGAGTAGTGGGCGAGAGCCTCCTCACTCTGGGACTCACTCTTCTCAACTTCCTTTCCAGAGCAACCCATTCAACTTCTCCTCTTGACTAACATCCCTGAGCAGGCGCGAAAGGCACAAAGGATCTGGTTTGAACTTATCAGGAAAGTGCCCCTGTGGGTCATATGGAAGTAGAGATGCAGCAGAACAATTGAAGGATGGGCCAACCCACGGGAGAAGGTGTGGGCAGAAACCAGAACGATGATACAAGCTGAGATCCTTTGTAGGTGGCGGAAGACCAAGCAAGCCTGGACAGAAGATGAGGAGCAGTGAAAGAAGGAGAGGCTGAGGTTCTACAGGAATTGGTTAATAAATGGCAAGATTGCAGAGATACGGGAGGATCGTATATGCTGGAAAGAGTGGCATAATTCAGTGCCAGAAAGGGGCTTTCAGCAACGGGCAACGTCGGTTGGCTAAATCACGTCTTGAATTCCAACAAAAGAGGGTAGTTCGACAGGGGCCCATGGGATAGGAACAAAGGGGAACTGAAAGGGCGAAAAGGGTACGCGGAGGAAGAAGACAGGACTGCAGCCCAAGATAGGCTCATGAAGTTGGAAGAGGAGGAGCAACACAGGAGCGAGAACTCACTGCAGAATTACGGGCTGAGGACACAGAGAAGGCATAGCAAGAAGAGACCTGATACGGAAGGGTCACTAAATGGCAAGGAGGCAGGGCTGGACAAGTCCGAGTGACCGGGAGGGATTTCAACAACGCGCAAGGAGTCCTGGTTCAAGAAACGGATCCTGGAAACATGAGACATTGGAGCAAGGTCGACTCAAAGGAATGTTAGAGTATGGGTACTCAGGCTGAGGGTTTAGGGTTTAGGGTTTTAGTGAAGAATAAAATGGGAGGGGGGCAGACAAAATGGGACTAGTGGTATTAAACCGCACAGGCAGGGCAGCTGAGCGGGTAGGATACAGGTCAGCAGGGACAACGGATGAGCTCTTTCTAGGAGGCATAGCACTATCTGGCAGATCTGGTCTCCAGGTCTGAGAGGAAAGAGAGGGACTTGGCAAGCTGTCAGTCAATCCTCCACCGAGGTGGAGCAATCAATGCTGTTCATGGGTCCTTCGGCCCAACGGAAGGAAGCGTGTGCGAGTTTCAATATAATGTATATTTTGACTTGCCGGTGGAGTAGGAACCGGACTGACGCTCCCCAGAATAGAAGGAGCCAGGACCATAAGGCCCTGTTGTTAAAAAGAAAAAGAAAAAAAGAGAGAAAAAAAAAAAGAAATCCCAGCCTTCAACACGTTGCTGTCGCTTGCTGGCCTGTATGCGGCCTGCCAGAGGCATAATAATGACCGTACGGCGTATGTTCTATTTGGGGAAAGACGGTAGTGCCGACAGATTCATAGTAATTCATACTGCTCAAGTATACGCTGTACTCTTTTCAAGTCTATCGATTTAGGGTCCTTCCCGTCTGCTGACTGTGCACACAACCAAGACAAGCGCTCCGCACCTGTTGCTGCTAGGACGCCTCTGTAAAACAAACATACTACGTACGAGGACTCTGCCTAATCAAAAAAATCCCGGATTAGAATGCTTCAATGCTTTGCTGATTTTGTCGAATGCTCTCATCTTTTATTGGGGGTGGTTGTTGGCAAAAGGAGGGCCTTATGGGCCTGGCCGTGCATCCATTTTTGGGGAAGGAGCGTCCGTCCAGTTCCTATTCCAGGTGAGGGCAAGTCGTAAGTATCACACTTCAAACAATGACACACTCACACTTCCTTCCATCTAAAGTCAAAGGAGCCGCAGAACAGCAGTTATTACTCCCTGGAGGGGAGCAAAAGATTGACTGTCAGATTGCCGTTTCCCTCTTCGTCTCCTCTCAGCCTCTGCTGTCCAGAAGCTCTCAGCTCTCACATCTTCTTAATTTTAATTTAGGTCCATCCTGGACTTAAGTTATCTACACACAGAGCGAGTGAGCAAAAAATATATAAAATATATATATCGTCAAATAGAACTGCCCGGTAAACCGTAGGCAGAGAGGGAGAAGAGGACAACAAACGAGGGGCTGTGACAAACTGTTTCGTCGGAGTTTCACCGACTCATCAGGAGGCTGAACCCTCAACAGTCTGTAGA